GGAGGCAGACAACCTCTTGATTCTTGGGCAGCGTTCAACGGAAATCTCATTTCAAGTGGTATGGGCATAAGCTCATTCAAGTCTGAGAATTGGAGACTGGTACCCGGAGGGTCAGGATGAGTGGAAGACAAAGGGTTTGAGGATGTGGGCTTCTCTGAGGACTGCTCAGAGGAAACAAAGATAGGAGGGGTGAGAGAGGATCCAGGCAAAGGGGTTGGGAAGCCTTGACAATATGCGTAAGACGGTCTTGGAGTGGGAAGCATTTGAAATGGTTGTATATGATTATGATCCAGAGGCAGAAACGTGGGCATGGTACTTGGTGGTCTTTGTGAGGTTTGCTTACATTAACCTGGATAAGCAGGCTTTTGCTTACGTCGACGAGGCATGTTGGAGTTGGAGGGTTGGTCGTGAGGTTTAAAGGGAGAAAGCGGGGTGTGGTTTTCTGTAGGTAGAGCCGGAAGGCTTGAGGTTGGAGGTAAAAGAGAAAGGGGCTGCGGGGAAAAGTGAGTAAGGTACTAGAGTAAGAGGAATAGAAGGTGAATATTGGATGTCGCCATTTGAATTTGGCGGGGATTCAAAGGAAGGATGAGGAGTTGAGGTGTCTAAGGGGGAGGATGAGTAGTATGGGTGAAGGGGTAATAGGTTGGGGGTTTGAATGGGTAAGTTTTCAGCTAGAGCGGCATGGGAAGTGGCAGGTGTCTGAACCAGAGGTTGAGAGGGGGGGAGAGGCCCCATCTGGCTAAAGGGGTTTGCCACCTCATTTAATGGAGACTGAAAAGAGTGTGGTTGAGAGGGCTGTACAGGGCATGGGTCTAAGTGCATGAAAGAAAAAGGTGGAGAGGTTGGTTGACCAGCATTAATTGGAACCTTAGAGGTGGCACCTGGAGACGGTTGCCGTGTATCGGAAATAAGGCTTCTTTTCTTGAGAGAGGATCACCATTAATGTGGAGGAAAGACAAAGTGAGGCGGCGCTTGATTTGGAGAATGGATGACAGATGACCTTGGGAAGCAACCATCACTTAATGAGTTGGCAGGCAGGTGTCAGTAGGTGACTTTTGGAGTATGCATTGTGTGCCAGGTGACAGTGGAAGGCTCCCTGCATTTAAAGGCTCTGTCTCAGGGTAGCAGATATCGAAGTAATCATCAGGGTGTGGTGGGCGAGGATTGGATGAGGAGGGTAGGTTAGTAGGATGCTGACTAGGATGGGGTGGGTTTGCGACAGGGCTTTTTCCCTTGGCACGAGATTTTTGAAGATCTTGAGAAGGCTGGTCTGAAAGATGGACGGCAGTGGATTGTTGTGGACCATGATCCTGGGGACCAGAGGACGAAGGTCCTGGAGTATGCTGCGGAGCACGGTTTTTTTAGTGCACCTTAGTCCATCCACCAAGGTCTGGACTGGTGCGAACATGGCAGTCAGGATCTTGAATCGAGATAGAGATTTGGCAGGAGAGTCCGTTACAATGGAGATGTATAGAGGTTGGAATGAGTTCAGCCAAAACTGAAGAGATAAGGAGTACTATCTTACCAAGAGGGAGAGAACCAAAAGACTTCCAGTGGACCAAGAGGAATTGGCCACAACAATCACCTACAGATTTAAAGATTTGATTTGTCCATAGATGTAATGGAATACCTTGAAAGGTAACTCAAAATTTTCTATTCTGTTGGGTGTCCAAGAATTGGTTCCACTTCTGTAAGGACAATAATGCTCCTTTGAATCTAAGGTTATTGGGTATGGAAGAAGGTAAAAATTTATCAGGAAAAGACATGAGATATTTGTCAGTGTAGGCTCCTGCATACTACATGGGGGTTTTTGAAAGTGTTTTGCAGCCAAAGAGTGATACTTGGGATATCATTTTGCTGGGGTTGGAAATGTCCTACCAAGGAATTCTCTAAGCATGCAACTCGCTCGGCAATCTTTGCTGAAGGAGGGAACCAAATATGGGCAGCAGAGTTAAGGAATGTAACGTGATGGTCGGAATGCAAGCCCAAAGGGGGTTGGGAAGAGTCCAGTTACTGGATTGGTGTAGTATGTTTGGTGGCAGGCTGGCAGCCACTTGAGCGTAACTCTTGTTAGGAGCAGTTGGGGAATAAGATATAGCAAGGCCAGCTGGAGATGGGTGTGAAGGTGGGTAGTGCTAGGTTGCAAAAAGGGGTTGGTATTCATTTTGACAAGGCTTACGAAGTATCGGGAGTGGGAGGAGAAGGGGGTTAGGGAATGGCAGTGGCTTCTGTGAAAATCGAGGAGGACCCTGTATTGGAATGGAATGAGGCTTAGAGAGAGGGGGTAGGGGCTTGTACTGACCTTTTGCTGAGGCATGTTTCGCTAGAACACCGGTTATGGATGGGGCAAAATAAGATTGACGGTTTCTATGCCTGGGGTCCAACGGAGAAGTGTCAAGGTTCTTTAGATAACTAGGGGGAGCAGGTGGCTTAGAGTATTGGATAGATCTATAGTCAAGGGGTTGGGCTTTCAGAAGTTGGTGGAAGTTGTTGGAGTGGCTAGGTTATTTGTGTTTAGGAGGGTCTAGAGTACTCTGAAGAGTAATCTGGTAAGTTCCGGCTAGGAAACTGGTTTGGGTGAGAAGCTCTTGAGTGCTCTGGTAAGTGAGGCTTAAATGCTGGGTAGGTGTATCTTGAACTCTTAGAGTGACCCTGAGCAGTCTGGTGCCGTTGAGAGGGTCTTGAATACTCTAGTGGGTGTGGCTTGAATGCTTGGTGACTGTATCTTGATCTCTCAGGATGATGATGCAGATCTTGGAATGCTAATCTTTGGCGCTCTGCAGGGTAGTTTTCCACGTCTTCTCATGCTTTTCATTTTTTAGTATTTACCAATTTTCGAGTCATAAAAGTAAGAAAGCTTCCTTTTTTTCGCATCCGGGCCAGAAGGCAACGAGCCCCCTAATTCATCATCCATGCCCATCAAGAGTGAAAGTTCACTCTCATCAACCAATGCAACGTAACACTCGCTTTTTCTTGAAGGCTACTTTACTTTGTCCTTGAACTTTGTTCTGAGGTTATCTTGTTGAAGAAGATGAAAGTTTGCAAATGGATCCTCACTTGCAGAAGATGAGGTAGCTTTTATGAGGCTTGCAAATGGATTGTCAATCCCTATGAGAAATTGTACAAAATGGCCCAGTTGTTTACTACAATGTTGGGCCTAATGATTTGAGAGATGTGAATAAAGGGCCTTTCAAGGATTGGATGAAAATTTTATTTCCCTTTCTCTCTCCTCTGTGCTTTTTCTTCCATCTTCTATTTTGTATCTACTCGCACCTACTCCAACATCTTCCTTATCTCCAGTTCTCTCAAACCTTCTTCATTTGCAACGAGAGATAATGAGAGGATAAGCTAAGCAAGGGCAAAGTCTGAAAGAAGAGAAATTATAGAGAGAGGCCCGTTGTTTGAACTTTTCATAGAGAGAAAGAATTGGGATCCGATTGATTTTGATTTTATGGGTTTTTTAGATTGATTGAAGAGTTGGTTACAGTGAGAAAGACCTTGCGTATCAATAGATCTTGTGTGGCAGTGATATGCTTTTCTTTCTCTAGGACTTAGTTAATTGCAGATTGATGTGTGATTTTGTTGCAGTAGAGAGAGAAATTCAACTACTTGTTTACTTTGACAATTGAAGAGAACCGTTGTTGTAGGGGAGGGTTAGATAGAAATCAGTACCTTTTACATAGATGATTGAAGAGAAGAATATTGGATTTTAGAAAGACTATGATAGGGTTGCTAATTTGAAGTTGAGAGCTTAAAAATTGTTTTTCTCCTTGTAAGGTTGTCAAAAAAAAAAAAAGTGAGTGAAAATGTTAAGAGGTAAAGAATCGGCCTCTCTTCTTGCTCACTAAATGAGGATGTCTCTCTCACTTTGAACAACTTCCCTCTCCAAAAAAGTTTAGAGAATGTTATTGTATTGTGTGTTTTTATGTTCATCACTGCTTCGATGAATCCATACTGTTATTTGATTTCTTTTATGATATTGGATCAATATTTTGTTTGAAGTTGGGTTTGAATGGCTGAAATTGCTAGAAAGCTTGCTTCAAATCAACTTGAAAGCCCATTGTTTGAATGGCTGAAATTGCTAGAAAGCTTTCTTCAAATCAACTTGAAACCCCTTTGTTTGCCTGGAGTTCACCCAGCATATGGTTGTTGCTTGACTTATGTTCATTTGATCCATGAGAGCTTAGAAGCTTCGAGTGTATCCGATAGTATGGCTAGACTTATTCAGATCATGTCATTTGGCCATGTTATAAGTCAGTGGTATGTTACAACAATACTATGGGTTGACATGCTTCTGTTGCATTTAGTTTATGAAGAATGAGTTTGTTAGTATTGTTTCTTTGTTTATGGGTAAGGGAGCCAACATAGATTTAGGAATGAAAATGGTGTGGGCTCCAAATGCTATTCATATTGTTTTATTTTTATTTCGTAATCTCATGTCCTCTTTTAATATCCTATAAATTTGTGTTGAAGAAGCCATTTTCACAAGTAGATATACTATATCTTTTGATAGTTAATTATTGGCATATGTTTGCTCTTGAAGGCTGCCTGTGCATTGAGTGAATTTTTGATATTAAGCAAATCAATTTTGTTTCTTATTTATGTAAGGGTGCGGTTTGTATAGAGCCGAGGCTCTAAACAATCAAACTAAAGCTCGTTTTAGTGTCTAATAGAGGGAACTTTAATTTCCTAATAGAATGGCAGCCTAATGTTTGAGGGAGTTGCCATTTAATTTGTGGTTGGATTGTGCTATTCTCATTCTGTTAGGGATTTAGAGTGTTAGAACTTTGCCTTGGACAAAAGAGTCTTTGGACACTCTTGTTTGTTGCATTCTTTTGATGATGATGTTATCAAAATGTTTTAAAAGGGAACATTCTATAACATGTGGGTTGGTTAGGAACATTGTAGATATCTTTGATTTGTTGTGTTCTATAAATCTCACAAGGATATGTTGTTTCTATTTTTTATGTTGCTCTTATTTATGTGTTGACGTGTAGCAGCCTTTATATTGTCTCAGGTTGAGGCAAAGCAAAATGAAACTGCGGCATGCTATGGTGTGTGCTTCAAACCAGAACCGTAGTATGGAAGCTCATGCACTTCTCAGAAGAGAAGGTTTTGATGTATCCTCATATGGCACAGGAGCCCATGTGAAGCTTCCTGGCCCCTCGCTAAGAGAACCCAATGTGTATGAGTTTGGAACTCCTTATAAGCAAATGTTTGATGATTTGAGGCGCAAAGATCCTGAGCTGTATCCTTTTCATTCTGGTTGAATAATGCCAGCTTTAGATGATATTGCACACGACGCATATTTTATACATTTCTTTTTGTCATGTAATTTAAAAAATATGATTGTTTTAGTCGACAACAATCTCTAGAATAGAATCCCACAAATCATCACATGAATCAGTATGAACAGCAAATGACATGCTGGAAATTATCAACTCAGCCCCCTATTTCTTCATGCTCTATTTCTAGTTTCTGTTTGGTTATTGTAGCTTTAGTGTGCATTTCATTATAAACTTGAAAAGCTTTACACATTTTGGTCTCTTTAAATTTAGAGAATGTACAAAATGAGTTCCTTGGACATGGATCTCTCTAATAGTTTATCATCACAAGTAACAGAACAATGTGGATGCTAAAAAGGCTAGGTGTTCAGTGTCATGATTTCAGAACTTGCATATCTATTGCTGGTTTATGGCCACCATTGTCTGATTTAAAGCTTGTTCTGCCTGAGGTCATCTCAATAACCAGCATCTGCTAATTGGTGGCTGTTTATGGTATCCCAGGGAATTCTCTGCGGCCAACTGGTAAGGACTCTAGTTTACTTGGCATTTATTTAAAATCTCCCGCAATTAACTAATCCTGAGTAACTGGGGATATATTAGCTCACTATGCATTCTCATCTGTTCAATGCGGGTGCCTTTTGTGAGCATAAAGTGCAAAATAGACACTGAATGCAGCTGCAGTTTGATCTTTGGGAGTGACCAGTTGATCCAACTTCTTCTCCCTAGTTCCATTTGTGCAGGAGTCATTGTCGCCAGGGTCCTTGGAATACACTTCACTAACCAAATCATCAAAACCCAAGAGGTGCTTAATCTTCTCCATGACACTTTCCCTTTTCACCGTCACCTCTATTCTTTTGACGGTAGCTTTAAGCTCACACTGGGTCCAGGGTTGTAACACCTTTCAAATTCCCATTTGCGCTTTTAGCCACTCATATTTTTTATCAAAATACCAAATTTGAGTTGAAATGGTTAGTTGTTATTGAGAGGAATACCTTTCTTACCCATTCTATACATTTGCTTGATGTCTTATGATGTGCTTGGCCTCATTTTCTCCAGTGCTTTTATTCCATTTCCTAGACACCACCATCTGAACAATGTTGTTGTATCTTGGATTGCACCAATTGATCTTTTCACCTTAATCTCTATGCAAAAAGAAGCCAAACAATGTGGTCATGACCAGGCTGATGATCGAACCAATGAGGGCAACAGTCTGGTCAGATCGGTTGGACCACACCAGTTCACTAATCATACCGTTGCTCGAACTTTTAAAAAATAAGAAATATGGATAAACAAGATAAATTTAAAAAATTAGGAAAAATTATAGAAATTCAGAAAAATAAGCAAGCAAAAAATAATGCAAGAAATTAACAAGTGCCCAAATATATTTCTTTTTCGTTTTTTTTAATTTTCCAGTTCAACGTTTTAAGGCATTTACAAAAATGTAAAAGTCCTTGCAATTTCAAAACATAAAATGCCAAAAAAAGAGCACCAAAGAAATATCTTTCTTTTTTTTAGGGGAATTTTCGATTTTCCAGTTTAAGGGCCTCTACAAATTGTAAATGTAAAAACCCGACAAATTTATAACAAAAAATGTAATAAAAAAAGGTGCAAAATTATTATGCTTTTTCCTTTTATTTTATTTTTTGCAGCTTTTGTTTAACTTTGGAGGGGATTTTACAAATTGTAAAAGCCCTTCAAAATAATGCAAAATTGTAACCTAATACTGAAGCAACATTTGAAAAAAATAGGTCTATAATACCCTAATTTCTTAAACCAGCAAGGCAAAACTCAACTTTTTTTTTTATTTTGACCTTTTCTAAACTTACTATTAAAGTACATAAAAAAACTTATCTTGGGTAAAATCTGCGCCGGAATAGAGTTGTAGCTTCTGGTGTTATAATGTCCACATAGGCGAGTGGTGTTTTATTGCCGGTTGTTACGGTGGTGGCCACTTCTAAACGGAGAGTAGACACCAATGAATGAGCTCTGCACCTGGATTGTGAGGGTGCCGGTTCTCTTATGAACTATGGGGGTACCGGGTTTTCATGGCAATTTTGAAGGAAAGATATGAATTTTGCAATTCAAATCAATATGAAGCACTGGTGCTTGAGGCCCCCTCTTTGAAAACCCTGGTTGTTTGCGCATGGTGGCAAAAGAGATGAAGTAAGAAGGGGTCAGATAGGTGTTGGTGGTTGCTAATGACGAACCTACCATCCATTTGTCTAGGAAGGGGGTGAAAGATACCATCAAGGATTTGAAGTTTTGTTTGGTTGATAGTTTATCATATTTACAATCTTGAATTTTTTTTCTGAGAATGTTAACAATTGTATTACTAAAAATTGTTTGTTACAAAGTTTGGTCCCTGAAAAAGGGGCATTGTACAATCAAGAGAAAAGGAGTAAGATAAAACTGGAACAGACTGCTCCCATCCAAAGGGGAGCCTAAGACTTTCCAAAACTACTCGGATCAAGGGATCGAGGCTCCCTCTTTGGCCAACGAATCCGCAAGAGAATTGCTCTCGTGCCACACGTGATTCCAAGAAACTGAGATACCTGAGCAAAGATGGGCAATTTCTTCAAAAATATGAGCGAGGGTCCATGGGTAGGCAGCAGCAGAGGAGGCCCACCAAATGACATTGTGTAAGTCTCCTTCAGCTTCAAAGGAAGGGACCAACTGTGGGTAAATAGACGAATTCCTTCTAGGAGGGCGAGAGTTTCCACTGCTTGCGCATCATCGCTATGGTGGATTGGTTTGGAGAAGGAACCCAAGATCTGGCCCTCATTGTTTCGAAAGAGACCACCATTGCCAGATGGTCCAGGGTTGTCAAAGTTGAACGTGATAGTCCTCGGGCTAGGAGGGGTCCAGAAAGAGGATTGAGAGACCTAATGCTGCGAGAGGTGGAAGAGGGGCTGCCAATTGCATTGGAAGACTGACAACTGTATCTCTTTGAAGTATTTGTGATTGGCTGCCGAAAAGGAGACGAGGGATTTGATTTTGTCGAAGAGAATGTCGGTGGACATGAATTGGCCGTGGAATATCCAGTTACTGCGCTCTATCCAGACTGTCCAAAGTAGTGCAAAGATGGAGGCTTTCCTTTGGAGCGTGCTAGACTGCGACCAGGGATAGGGGTGAAGAGAGGAGAACATGAGAGGGATAGATGAGGCCGTCACCCACTGCCAATGGAAGAGATTGAGGAGAAGGCCCCAAAGAGAAGCGGCTAGGGGGCAATGAATAAACAAGTGGGCGTTAGTTTCCTCCGCCTCGAAGCACATCGTACAATGAGTAGGCATCGGGATCCCTCTTCTCAGGAGTTGGTCGACCGTGAGTGCTCTTTGATGAAGGGCCAACCAGTTGGAAAACTGAATTTTGGGAGGCACAAGGGCAAACCAAGCCATGGCTGAAACGAATGAGGGATTTAAAGGAACTGTGGGAGGATGAGGGAGCATGAGATGGAAAGACGATACCGAGAAGATCCCTGAGGGGAAGGGGCACCAAATGAGCATATCGCGACCCTGACTAGGCAAGAAAGTCGAGTCTAGGATAGCTGAAAGGTCGAGAAATTCTTGCTTTTCAGACTCCAAGGGCGGCCTTCTTAAGATACGAATCCACTCTCGCCTTTGTCCGAGAGTTTGGAATACATCAGCCACTAGCTCCTGCTTGTTGAGAGTAAGCCGAAAGAGGGAAGGGAAGAGGTTTGATAGTGGAGAGGGTCCTAACCACCGGTCGCACCAAAATTTAGTTCGCACTTCTTCGCTCGCAAGCACACGAGTATGGAGATTGAAGATCTTGAGGATGCTTTGTAGAGTCAGGCGCCTTCTTAAGATAGGAATCCACTCTCGCCTTTGTCCAAGAGTTTGGAATACATCAGCCACTAGCTCCTGCTTATTGAGAGTAAGCTGAAGGAGGGAAGGGAAGAGGTTCGATAACGGAGAGGGTCCTAACCACCAGTTGCACCAAAATTTAGTTCGCAGCCCTTCGTGCGCAAGCATAAGAGTATTGAGAATGAAGATCATGAGAATGATTTGTATAGTGGACCATATCGCCAGAGCCCTGCTGTAGGTCCTAGGTGGAGGCAACTAAGAAGAGGGTGGCAGAGTGGTTGGATCGAGTGGCACAGCGCCACCACCATTTGCCCAGAAGGGTAGTGTCAGCAAGCTTAAGGTTGTGGATACCAAGCCCTCCTTGGTGACGAGGAGAGCACATTGTTTCCCTTGATAACAGATAAAACTTGTGTTTGTCACTATCACCTTCCTAAAGGAACTTCTTCATGAGGAAGTTAACTTGATTGAGGATTGCTGCTGGCATTCTAAAAAGAGACATTTGAAAAATTGGAATGCATGAAAGGGTTGCTTTAATGACGATCATTCTACCAGCCAAAGAGAGGAAGCGAACTTTCCACAACGTGAGCCTACGCTCGAATTTATCGATGATATGTGCCCAGGCACTAGGCTTCAGTCTACCAATGCAAAGGGGGAGCCCTATATATGAAGTGTCTCGGTTGCACATCCCCAACTTTCAGCCAAGGCTTGAGTGATGGGTGATCAAGAGCTATCCCAATCATTTTCGACTTTCCCAAGTTGATCTTGTGGGCAGTGGCCCACTCAAAGATCTTAAGGAACCAGTGAGGACGGTGGTTTCATGGTGAGAGATGCTGCAAAACACCAATGTGTCGTCGGCGTATTGCAGGTGCAAGATGGAAGGACCATCGGGCTCGCACTTAAAGCCATGGAGGATGCCGCCGATACTAGGGAGCTGAGAGATAGATTAACTGAAAACTTTCGCGATGATTGCGAAAATAAAGGGGGAGAGAGGGTCACCCTAGCTCAGTCCCCTTGAAGAGGGGAAGAAACCCCTGGGTGAGCCATTGACTAACACTGAAAAATGGGGGCTCGAGATGGATCTAGTCCACATCCTACATTTGAGTCCAAAACCCATCTGGAGAAGAGTTTCACAATGAGACCCA